AAAAAAAAAAAAAAAAAAGAAGAAGAAGAAGAAGAAGAAGAGGGATGTAAGAATTTATTTTCATCCAAAAGTAAAAAGCATACAGAAATGGGAGCGCATTAAAGTACCTGCATGTGAAGGACATCTTTGAGCGGCATCCGTTTCATGTGGGGTATGGTAAGAAGTTGAGATGGGGTTTGGCCGAAGTAAGCAATCTGATCTTGGGCAGCACGTTGTTGTACCTTTTAAACAGTTCGACAGATGCTAGTAATTGTCATCCAAAGTGTATGAATATCTACGAAAGGTCTCAGATTAATAAAGCAGAGAAGCAACTCACTGGGTCTGATATTTTATCAATGTCTACAGTTCCTTCATATGTAATGTAGAAGAAAACATTGTTCGCCTGTATAGCTTCTTTTCCACGTTGCTTGTACCTAAATACACAAGCATTGTAGGAATCAGATCAGAAAATACCCAGCTCCAGATTTTTTAGTGAACAATACGGACATCAGAACAGGAGTCACTTCATATATCTGAGATTCAGAAGCAAATAAGCAGAATACCCAAATATGAGATCAATCCATTCATGCAAATGTTCCGAGACGTGCTCACTTTCTAGAGCCATCCGATGCTTATGGACAAAATCAACAGGGTTTTTAGCCCATGGAGGAAGCCGAACTGCGTCTGTAAGGTGAAGGGACAAAAACAAAATTAAAACATGGTATAAAGAAAAAACTTATATCTAAAGAGTGCAGTAAAGCTCCACTTTCAATGGAAATCGAACAACTGAAATGTATACCAAGCTTTTCACCGAGTTGCGTTGTACCAAAGTCAACTGAGTTCTCATTGGTGAAAACCTCTGGAAGATAAAATAGCTCGGGCACCTAAAATTCAAAAGAGAACGTGCAGCATTACTAAAACAAAGTGCCAATCATGCTCATATATCCTGAAACAATTGGCAGCCAAAGACCTATAATGCTAAACTATCTGTGAATGCTTTTAATTTCTAGTAACTGATTTGATCTACAGCTTGTCATAATTAAAAGCTACAAATAGCAAAAACTAAATCAGCGGGGCCCTCTAGATGTATACCAATTCTTTTACATCACTCATGTCCTCAAGAACTCCATTCCAAGTTGCACCAATGTCTGAGAACATTCTGTCAGCATGATCAAATTTTCCACCTTGAAGTTGAATAGAAAGGGTAGTAAAAGGTTCCACTCTTGTGAGGTAATACAAAACCTGCCAAAGAAATTAGAGACAAAGCTAAGCTAAGAGTTCTATAACTGTATATGCACTAACGTAAACAAGGGAAAATGATTTGACTGATAACAGTGAGATCACAGATGGATAAAATAGTAGTTTCAGAATATGTCTCAAGCAAATAAAACGAAGCAACATAATATTATGTTATAATTGTCGATGCAAACGCCAATACATTCATCATGCTGATTGAATCTAAAGCCACTACATCTTTGTTAGCTTTTGATAGCACCATCCAGACCCTGTATAACTGGTACTAATTAATTTGGTCCTTTGTCATCAATCAGACATTCAATCAGCATTCATTTGTAACTAGGAGCCAGAAACATGGAGTTTATTGGTGTTTCTACATTAGATAGATATTTCAGAATTCAACCATGACACTCATTCTCAAATCTACTATAGGTCTATATTGCTGTCCTAATTTGTTTAGATTTCATAAAACAATTCTGATTGATATGTTCTAAAGATGATTATTTCATAAACAAGTTATATGTTACTTGAGGGCCGAGATTTACACCAATGCTATTTAGTTAGTTAGGCAACTTTGACGAGACTCCCAAGCTTGTGACCATATGCTTACACAATAGCAGAAATAAATAGCTATTTCACCAAATCAAGAATATTATGCACTGATCACACTTATAGGGAATGAGCAGTCCACAGTAAGAGCACATAATTCATGTCAAGACAAGAATATAAATAGCAACAGAACCCACTGTTCCAGCTGTTGAGTAATGTGAACCATAAAGGAATTTGGGGATGACTTCATCTTGAAGGCTGGCGTATCTTTCTTGAAACATTTTTAATCTCTCAGCATTCAGAGCGCCAATGGGCTGCAATACAAACTTTTGATGAGAAAACTGATTAAAAATATAATATATAAATATCTGTACTTATGTGTGTTAGGAATACCTTTGAAAGATCACGGAAAGAAGAAGGAACTGAAAGATCCAAATTCTCCGAGCTGTAATCAGAAAGGATCCATGGGAACACAGGATACTGCACATAAAGATTCCATTAAGAACTAAAAATAACACCAGATTTCCTCTCCACTTACATTTTGAAAAAGTTATCAGACTCTAAACCTGTGTTATATCATTATAACTACGTCCAGCCAACGTGTTAAGCTGCATCAAATACTCAAAATTGCTGATCTGCAAAACATTACCATCAGATTATTATGGTATAACCATGCAAATTAAGCAAGAGAACTAATCCAATCAATTTCACTCCAGGTCCATTCTGCAAACATACCTCCCATCTGGCCCAGCGTTCCATAAGCTGAGTTCTTTTCAAAAGTTGTTCGGGTCTCTTCAAAATAAGATATAGAAACAAAGTTTATTATATTGGAAAATAAGACAACTTATACCTGTAAACATTCGAATGCTCAACCCACCTCATTCCAGCACATAGATTGAGTCTATCTCATTGTAAGTAAACATATGGCAGTAATACTTGTGTTGCAATACCTGTGTTGCAAGGTAGATATCGTTCAAATGAGGAGGACGGGCTTGCACAATAGCTCGATAGGCATTTTTACGTCCCTCAATGCTCTACAGGAAAAAAAAAAAATCAAGGATAAAAAAATATCAGAAAATGGTCAGACAGAAGAAGAGGAAAAAGGAAATCTGCAAAATAGATATATTGAAGGGATATACCCCAAAATCAAAAAAGTAATTTGACCGGTCGACCATGAACAACTCCAGTGCACTTCTTCTCAGAAGATATCTGCAAAAATAATGATTCAGAAATTCAAATAACCCCAAGGAGGCGCTTATACCATCTAAGAAATAGTGGAATCAAACAACATATGTTATGTTATGAATGAAAAAGGAAGAAAAGTGAAGTGTCAAAAATATATGTTTGATAGGAAGTAGCACTTATCCCAATTACAGATTGATTTTTTGGCTTAGCAAATAATGCATTAGAAACCAAAAACTGTGATTAGAATGTCAAATTAAAAGTCCTTTCATTATGATAAAAGGACACATGTTTTGGCTTATAGAAAATTCTCAAAGGGCATTTACCAATTAAATGTCATAGGTATCAAGGTTATCCACCTCCATTTGTTATGCAAACAAGCTCGAGACAAGTACTTATCCATATAAAATGAAATGGGCTAATAGGAAGAACTGTTAGCTGGTGAATCCATCATTGATGAGAAATTAAAAACTTTGATAATGAAGATAACCGTTTTATTCAGCGCCTGAAAGAAATTGGACTTTTGCATCAACTAATTCAAACAAGCAGCACGATAAAGAAAAAGAACAAAAAAAGAACAAGGGAAAGAAAAGAACTTTCACAAAGCAAAATAACAGAAAATAACAAGAGAGGCAAATTAAGCATAAAGTCGAACCATTTCAGATGAAGGCCAATAAAAAACCCATGTCGTTGCAGACCCCAAAGCAAAGCAAAAGATAAATAAAAACAAAACTAGAGAGAAGAATCTCCACCCAAATGAAAGAACATTCATCTAGCATCACCTTCTGCTGTAGACTTGGTGAAGTGATGACATCAACCAGCAATGATCCTTCTCTTGAACTTCGTTTTCACCTTTGCTGTGCACATCTCTCATAGCACTAGGATCCGTGTGATCAACAACAAAATTGATTCTTCTTGATGTTATCTGAAGAAAGACAGCATTATACATTCTGAAATACAATATATATCAAGGGATGTTGAAATTTTCAGACATCAATCAGAATTTCCATACAGTATATGCTGTCTTACTTGATATATTTCGCTAAACTAGTGCTGCCAATAGGCACTAGATTATAATTACCAGTTAATGTCTAGTCAAAGTCTCATAATCAATTGAGATGGGCCAATGAGAAAAAGGCATCAAGTAGAAAGAGCTATTTGTTATTTCACTAGAATGGCCTGATCGTTACATATAATGTGAACTGTACCCAAAATAGCATTTACAGCAAATTACAGGTTCCTGAGTCTCTTATAGGAGGATAAGGGGAATTCATATCAGGAAGATGAGCAGTTGGAATACATTATGCCAATAAAGAACATTATGCTAAAGTATGTCAACTCACTTGAAAAGTTCCTCTCAGAATCTTCAATGGGCGGACCATTGTAGATGGAAGCTCAAGAACAATTCTTTCATCGTGCTCGCAAGGAACATAGCCAGGGGAGGTTGCGGCTGGAATCGATGCAGTGTCAAGCTCAGAATTAACTGGTAACTCCGTGGACTCTGCCAATATAAGTGGCTGGTTCCCAGGTCCTGATGGTACAGTCTGAATTCCACTAGGCTGTTCCTCATTTGGGCTAACAGCCAAACTGGAAGAGTCATGCTCATCTTCCTCATTTCCCAACTCCGCTGAGATGGCTTCAGCAGCTAAGATGGAGGATTTAGATGGACTTACAGCTTCATTTCTGTCATGCTTCTGCTCTATTTTGTCATCATAATTTGCAGCAGCACCATGGTGATCGGAGCCATGGTAATTCCTGCGTAAAATCCTCCTCATCCTTGAAGAACTTTCCATGAGGTCTAGCTTCCAGAAAAACTATACGACAAGAAGTTAATAACAGGAATTCTACTCAGATAACTTCAGGCAAAATAAGCTCAATCCAGAAATATACCTGCTTAGTATTGCACAAATCTTCACTTAGAGGACCAAAAAGACACCTAATCTCTATCAGGCAGTGAATGAGTTTGCGCCATTCACGTATTCCCGTGTATAATCGTTGCCGGGCTATCGAATCAACTTGTGACCTCCTGTCAACCTGAAACCAACAGAGGAGATACAACGAATCATGATAAGTAACTTCAAAATTACTGATCGAAAACTTAAATGAAAGAGTGCAATACCTCAGAGCGCTGCATGTTTCTAGCCAGAGCTAAACTTCCAACAAGGACAGCTATATACTTGTAGGATAAGGCATTGAAGTCCTTGGCGTACACAGACTTCGAGTCCACTGACTGTAAGCATTCCATCCATGCAGTTCCCATTGCTTCTGAAACATTCCATCTCTTTACCCGTTCATCATCACTTTTACTACGACGCTGGGCTGATGTAGCCATAGCCACAGCACTGAGTCCTCTTCCGGAGCCAATTTTCGCATTACGCTCAAGGTCTCTAGCAGCAGCCAGTGCAGCTGCTTTTGCTGCAGCCTTGTCCTTGGGAATGGCTGGAGATTTGTTAGGTGCCTCCAGAGGTTTCTGAAAGCTAGAAAACGTATGGAGTCTGACTGTTTTCCGCTCTAGAAGGGATGAGTCTCGGCGGAGATGTGAAATAGACTGAGGAGCGCTGGTTTCTCCACCAGCGGCACCAGCTGCGATCATTGCCAATGCCATAGCAGCAGGCGGTGATGCAAAAGAAGCAGCCCAACTAGGAGATACCATAGCAAGAGCAGCCTAAAAAGGGTACGAATGAATTTATCAGACCATGAAGTTTACATTACGTTACAAGAGGTTAGAAAAATACTTCATGAGGATAGAATGTGGTCAACACCTCAGCATGAAAAGTGTTGGTCTCTATTGCATATCTACAGATAACTCTGCTTATCTCATAAGAGATATCTGTATCTCGTTTTTGCAACAGGTCCCAGCAACAGATAAAATTATGTTAAATCTAATATTGTAGTCACTTTTCATTACCATGAGCCTGTAGTTCAAGTAGTGCTCACTCACACTTTGAAAGAATGGATGTAGGACTCAAACTCTGTACCTTAGAGCTTATTTGGTACTTATAATCCCCTTCCATCCACTTACTTCTAACTAGTAGTTAGTTTTAATTTCTCAAGAACCAGAATCTGTGTTTGCGTGTGATGTCATTATAGAGCATTCAGGTTTTCTGGTTTTGTTTCAATATGGACCTTAAACATACCCTAAACATATTAAAGTAGAATTAAATAGCCACCTCAACTGGCAAAGCATCTGCAGCCAAGGCACGATCATCAACGACAAGGGGATTTATACCGTCTGCAGTAGCAAGTTCATGAATTCCTGCCAAAAGAGGTCGCCACCTTCTTAAAATAGCAACAAAAGGAGGTAATATGGCTTCCAGGTATTGCTTGCGTAAAGGACTTCGGTCCTTTCCAATAGCATGCCACACCTGAAAAGTGTAAAAAATTCTAGGACCAATGAATATTAACTCACAACAACCAATGCTGGGAAATAGTTGAACACAAACAAAAGAGTAGTCCATAGCAGAGCAAATTTCAGAAAAGGGGCCAAGTATTTATATATAAAGACAAACAGTTACTTTAACATAAAACTGACCTCAGAATATAGGACACACGACGCAACTAAAACTCGCTGCCTCTTTGTCTCGGAAATTGGCATGTTTAATATAGGAGACAACACACTGCACATAACCAACTATAAATTAGTCTCAATGTTGAAATACAGTGAACAACAAAAAGGAAACTCCCAGGTGAAAAAACATGAGCATATTTATAAACCCATAGACAGAAACCAAGAAGTATGATCCCTCCACACTTGCACCAAAAACCTCAACATCACAATCATTTAATCAGGAAAGCAAGAATTGCAGGAAGTTTTTCGGAAATCAATATATTTTAGAAGATCAATGACGATTAGTCACGTAAACCCAAATTTTGGGCAATTCGATAAAAAAATCATTCTTGTAGAAGTTTGATTGAACTGGAGAGCATATGATTGTGATGGAGATTGAGAAAGGGGATTATTTACTCAAGGAAAGGGAAGGATGGAAAATAATAAAATCAGTGATGTAATATTGTAAGCCAGATAATGGGATTAACAGGAATACAGGCATCCTGACCCTTTGGGCATGGAAGGCTACTAAATCGTTGTCTTACTTTTTCATTTTTATCTTATTACCTTATGTAAATCTTATAAAAGGGAGATATTAGATAAAGATTAGGCATCAATAGAAATAATATTGCTTGTCGGCTTTTAGCTTGTGAGGGAGATTATTTCCCAAGGAGAACCTCGTGTTCATGGACAACCCCGTGTTCTTTTATTTACTTTTCTGCATAAAATATTAAGTTCTTTACGTTGACCCTTTACTCCGCAGAGATTGACCGATAGACTACAGAACATTAGAAAAACTTGTGCAATTAAGTTGAAAGTCTTCGTAACGCAATGAAAAAAAATAATATAAATGTAAGATTAAGCATCCGATATAATATGAATTCATTTTTATTAGAATGGTTGACATAGAACATACCTCCAAAGCAACGCCGATCGTGGTTTTCTAGTTGGCATCCTGCTGGTTTTGTCAAAAGATGCAGCACCACTAGATTGTCTACGGAAACCCTCTACTGACTCGTCCTGGATACCGACATGCCTCATTAGCATATGGTCCTCACCATCATCATCCTCCCTCAACGAAACAAGCACCATCCGCAGCATACAGAGGAATGGCTGGTCACTGTCCAGTAACTGATAAAGAGCTGACATTCCCCCCATTCCAGTTCCAGATCCTCCACCAATACCCAGACCACCCCCAATACCCGACTCGTCTAATAACAGAGCTTGAAGCATTGTAACAGACTTCTTTATTAGTGGAAGTTCAATCCAGTTTCCATTAGCATCCTTCTCTAATGCAGATTTCCAAGATTCCCAACCACTGCCACCTCCACCAAATAGTGATGTGTCCTGAGTAAGTCCTACACCATACCACAATCGACTTCTGTATTTCCAACCCTCTGCTAAATCTACTACACAGCTTCCATATGACACAAAAGCACAGGAAACTGATTCATAAGGTTCAGCGGCAGCTGCAGCAGTCAATCGTTCCATTACAGCTGTTGAAATTTGTCCATTAGCATCGGCCATTGAAGCAAGAACCTATTCCAAGCCAAGTTAGATTCAATGAATAAAGATAAGAAATATTCACGAGGATCTTACTTATCCAACCAAAATTATGCTCTGATAGGACCAAAGCTGCAATGTATGTTCTCAAACGAAAGACAAAACAGTGATAACACTGACAGGCTGACATATATGCAATGAGATACAGGTTAAAGTCAATATAAACATAGGACTGCTTACATCCACCGGACACTGAAAAATGTCAGATTTGAAGCCTTGTCCATTATGGCGGACAGCAATTAATACTCATGTAATAAATATAACAGGATATAAGTAATATGTACGCATAAAATGCATCAATAAAAATCTTCAAGGATACTTACATTTAGAGAGAGTCCTCCAGATTCACTAGATGATGAAGTACGAGATGAAGTTTCTCCACGAACTGTATTTGAAGAGCGGCCACCCACAGGCAACATAGTTGAAAGTGGGGACGCAGATGTAGTGGGCAAACGTGAAGAACTATAAAGTTTGCTTTGTAACCGCAAATGGTCTTCAACAAGCATCAGAATAACTATTGCATTCTCAACCAATGCCACAGAAAGCTGAGCAGCATTTTCTGCTTCTATCTTCGCATCCATAGGCCGCAAACCCTCAGCTGCTACACCAGCAGCCGCTGCAGCAATAACTTGAGTCTGAAGCAACATAAAAGCTAGGATGTTGATGTTAGTGTAGCATTACACAAATAATACAACTCCATAGAAAAACATAAAATATAAGATAAAAAGTTCACATTTAAAATATATGAGAAATGTAAAGCCACATAAAGAATGACGGGATAGAAAAGATAAATAAACTCAGCGAGGAAGCCATTGGTAATAGAAGTGAACAATAGGTTGTTTGTGGTTTGTTTTATGAGGTGTAGATATGATTATGAGCTACTAAAAATGCTGGAAATTTTACCAGTTTATTAGCTTTATTAGATTTTTTTACTATGAACAGAATCAGGTACATGAATGGAGATGCATATATAATTGACAGCATAAAATTTTATGTCATCTATTGAGGGGGGCCGCATGCAAATGGGGGATAAATTTGACTTTTCAAATTCAATAAGCAAGAAGCTTAGAAGTTACAAGCACAAGTGTTCCTTCAGTCCTTCTCAGAGGCAGTTCTATGTCTAAAGCTCAGTAGAGGCAGGTAAGCTAACAACTGGAGTAGATACAAAAATTGATCAAACAAGTCGTAGGATGCAAGACTCTAAAAATTGACTTGATTTCAGCTGCAGGTTCTTCAGTAAGTAACAGAGAAAAAAAAAAGGAAGATAGTAAATGAATGACAAATAAGAAGTATTAGTAAATAGCGGGTTGAAACTCAATGTTTGGGACATAAAGCTGCGGAGGAAACCACATATATTCCCAATGCAAGGCTGGAGACTCATCAGGTCACTAAAAGAGAAGTATCAGTAATTAAGCCACAGAATACCATGCACCATATCCGAGTGACTGAAATAGAAGATCGAATGATAAAGAAAATGAAACCTAGAACTACATATCGACAACTTCAAAACAAACTTGCTATAGCAGACGTATAAAGATCACCTGAGCCTGCAACTCTCTTGCAGCAAAGTCCAGCAAGCCTCCCAAAATCTTTCTCTTAAAAATGGGTAAAGATTCCTCACGTCTGTAAAACATAGGTCATAGTGTCAGCTTCTTGAAACTCTAGGTAATGCCACCCCACCCCCACCCCCAGAAAAAAAGGATGAAGAAAAAGAGCTAAGAATAGAACAGTCGGTCCTGAAGTTTCCATATCAACAAATCATTATGCCTGTCACAAGAACTAAACATAAAGTTGAAAAAAGTCCGCTCACAAGTTTCACCTTTTCGAAGTTAGTAAAAGAACAATTTTTTCGCAATACATTACCCAACTCATGGATAACTAACCATCAGAGATTCAATAGCAAACAATCGTTCATCCTACATTGATAGTGCTAAAGTGAAATGTCTAAGCAATAGTCGCATACCTAATCCTTGTGTCTCCAGTGCTTGAACCACCCACCATAGATAGCCATTCTGCACAATGAATTGTAGCTTCAATATCCTGTCATAGTAATGAACAAATACATGAATAAGAATAATGGATACCTTAGCTCAGGAGAAGCATAATTTAAATTATTCAGCATATTTCCTATGTACCACAAATTAAGCATCTTTTATTTCTCTAGCTCACACGTAGTTAGTAATTCCCATATAGTTTAGGAATTTAATAAGAAAATATTGGCGAAAATATAAATATGAAATGTCACCTTCCATCCATCCTTCTGGCGCATTGAATGTTCTAAGATTATAACCAAGAAATTGTGAATAAAGTCTTCTACGTCTCTCAAGCTAGATGGGTTCTTATTTTTAATTGCTCCTGCCTGCATCGTAGATTGGACAAAGGCACACTAAAAATAATGCCTCATTGTATAATCATTTCAAGCAGAGCTGGTGATGCTACCTCATGATTAGATATGAGTATCTCCAAGATCCATTCAGGCCATTCTTCCATTCTTGTCAGGCTGTTTCTATTTTCTGGATGACTGCAGGCCAAAATTAGAAGATCCTGAAATCATATAGAAAGTATTAGAACTCAAAGGTATAACATCAGCCGGGAAAGAGCAAAACAAGAGAATATAGTGGTTAATTGATTTGAATTTTTCCACATAAGCATAAAGATAGTGTAATATCACCAATTACAAATTTTACAGAAAATGAGTTTGTAGAATCCAGAGTAAAATAGTTGTTATGAATGATATAAGTGAGAGGAGACCAACAAATGATAGAAGGCACGTCTTTTGTTAGAATCAGAACTTGTGATAAATACTGAATTAAGAGCAGACAGAAAGACCAATAAACAGGGTACTGAACCCAAGTAAATAATGCATGCATAGCACATGCCGAGAAAGAGGACCACCACCAACAGCATACTTTATTGGAATTGTCCAACGATCATTCGCATGCTACTCATCTAAATTGTAGAAATTTAAAATGGCAACAATCTCATGAATGTTCACATGTCTCTCTTGATTACAAATACATCTTCCAGTCCCAACTTCCCTCTCCAACAAACACCACTCCCTCACAAGGAAAAAGTAGCAGTAGTAGGTAGTAGCAGTAGTTGTGGTGGTAGTACAAATATAATNCGCATATGGGAGAGATCGAAGAAGAACCAATAAAACATGGAAATGCTCAAAGCGATGACCGGAATCATAGAAGTTCAGTCCATCATCGGCAGAAGACACATTTATCTGAAATGGAAAAGAATCATATTAAAATTATTTTTGCATCATTTTTTATTCGCTTGTCAGCTCTAGCCTTCCCTTGCCCCTCGAATAGTCCTACCCCGAACAAAGAGAAAGAAAGAAAGCTTTATATATATATATATATATATATATAGAGAGAGAGAGAGAGAGAGAGGAAAATTACATACCGAGGCAGCCAATAATGCTGTGTATACACTTGACGTCATAAGTCGGTTAGGTGCTGCTTGGAATGCCTTCTGTAGACCAAAAAGCAGGAGAGAAACCTTATCATCGAACATGGTGCCTCCCCCCTCAAGCAAACCAAGAAGGTTATTTGTCATCTCCACAGGAGCAGGTGCATCGAATTTTAAATGTCCTGATACCACTAAAGCACCCAAGAGGTTGATAATACCTAGAACGATACCATCACTTTTGTCAACATTATACACATTATTCCGAGCATTTTCAGCATTTATCGAATAACTTATGCCACCCAAGTTTCTAAGAAAAGGATTCTCAGTGATGGACGACATCCTTTCCATGTTTGATTTAGAAGGAATTCTAAAATTCACAGATTCAGATGCATTCTCATATAAATTCAGATCCTTTCTCTCCAAAGAAAACCCATCATCATGACCAGGTTTTGCAGAAACTCCTTCAGAGATATCTGCATCCAGTTTAGTCGATGTTAAAGACTCGTCATGTTCAGGTAAGAACTCTGAGTCATCAGTGTCTCCAGCTTTTGTTTCACGCTGCAACAGAACAAGAAGTGTTTCGATGCCACCACACGATATAAATGCCTCGGCAAAGGTTTTAGCCCTAGACATATTTGGCTGTACAACCAATCTGTAAATCAGGTGGAGCACCCTTGCAACCTGGAAAGAAAGTGGTAGCTATTTATACCAAAACTCTGTAAGGACTAAATGATGCAAACATGGTAAGATCAAACTGATATCAAGTACTCTGGAATGATGATACATTTTATTAGTACTAAAACATACCAAAGTGTCGTGTGTAAATTTAAGGTAAACATTACTCATCAATCAATAAACACTTTCAAGTTTTCCCATAAGGCACTTTTTCGTTATTGGTCACATTACTTTAACGCATTAATATTTTTTTTTAAAACTAAAAACACGTACAGGAGAGACGAAATATGCATACTGCAAAACAAATATGGAATAAAAGGAGCCACACTAATTCTACCTAAGACCATCAACTGCCACGTATGTTTAAGCTAATAAGTTTTGCAATAAATGTTTCCTCAATCATTTCCACAAAACTGATATCTTTTTCAGGAATGAACCTTTCATGTGTGATGGGATTCAGCTGGATCAAATGGCAACAATACAATTTCTTGGTACATAAAAGAGGTAGTAATAGAGCTAACTGTTCAATAACCAAAAGTGAAGTTGTAAGCTGATATTACAAATTATATTAATCTTGTTACTTGATTATAAGGTCTCTTCATCTCCAGGATAAAATATCAGAGCCAAATAATTACAAATTTTAACTCTTAATGTGAATTATATAAAAAGTGAAAAACCAACAAAATAATAATAATAATAATAATAATAATAATAATAATAATAATAATAATAATAATCTTCTATACTTATACTAAAGATAGTCCTATTTACCAAATTTAGTAGGTAGAAAAGTCAACAACATTTATTGCCATTACTATTTCCGTATTATACAGTTTTTATTTAATATTTGTTTTTCTGTTACGATGTTTAAAAACAGATATGGTCAAATTCTCTCATCATTAATTACTTTCCATTAATTACAATTTATTTATTTATTATTTTCATAGCAAAAACGGACCAACATTAATTGATTTCCTTAAAATGTGAAAGTTGTTGCTTTATTTTTGTACAGAAAATCGGGCTTCATTATAGAAATTTGTTCAATTACACAATGAATTTTCTATGATATAATTATATTTTATGTGAACTTTTTTTTAACAGAAAAATATGGCATTTCAATAAGATTTTCGATTTTTTAAGACTGATCGTTATCATGCTATGAAATTGAACATTCCAATATATCTTAACAAAATATACACGTGGTGTATAAATCAGTTAATAGAAATATAGAATCCTTATATTTTTATTTATATATATGTATGTAATTTTTCTATTACCAAATTTAATTGATAGTTGTTGTGTTATGGGTTTTTTCATAATTGTTCAGTTAATAGAAATATAGAATCCTTATATTTTTATATATATGTATGTAATTTTTCTATTACTAAATTTAATTGATAGTTGTTGTGTTATGGGTTTTTTCATAATTGTTACTTGGTTGTTGTGATATTTAGTTTGGTTGGTGTCGCAAAAATTCTAATCTATATATATAATAAGAATAATCATTACAATGCGAATTAGAAAAATATTGATATTAGAAGAGATTGAGTTCATGGCTTTTCTTAAATCAAAGTTGTTTAAGTAGTATACAAAATTAAATTCTAAAAAAATATGTGTATATTTTGTACATTATATATACACTATTTAATTTTAAATTTATTTACCTATTTTAAATTGATTACTTATATAAATAATATCAACGTGCATTAAATATATTTCATTACATAAAATAAAAAGAACAAGAAGACGTGTAACTTGTGTAACTTTATAAATAATAATGACATTATATGGCAATAGAGTTTAATAATTAACTATTATATAGTGAATAAGAATAAGTAAAATTGTTATTTTCTCTTATATCAAGGAATAAATATATATAATATAATTAAATTTATATTAGTATAAATGTGTTAGTGGGATAATATATCAATTATTTTACAAGTTAGCTCTAACATGCTCACGTTTAATGTTCTAACTAATAAAACAACGTTGATTAAAAGATGTGAAAAAATAGATTACAACCCTATTTTTTTTAGACTTAACGGTGATTAAAAGAGGTGGAAAATAGATGATAACTCCTTTCAGACTTAAACGAGACTTAACGGTGATTAAAATAGGTAGAAAATGGATAATAACCCTTCTCAGACTTAAACGGACAGAGCCTGTGAAAATAATTCATTTAATATCTCTCTCGCGTGCATCGCACGGGGTACATACTAGTAATAATAATAATAATAAAACAGGAAAATATGCATTCCAATATGTTAGGATGCAAAGAAAATGTTTCTATACAAATATATCTCAATATTATTAGTGAACAAATTCTACTTAATTTGTAATGTCAAAATATGTTTACCATATCTTATCAAGGAAGAAAAATAAAATAGGTTGGTGTTATATTAGAAACCATCATCCACTGTGCACATGGACTATTGACGGAGAAAAACAATTAAACCATGCCTCACAAGATGCATTCCATATTAAAATAATTGCTTTTGTGTTATAACTAATGAGGAACACCACTCAGTAAATAGAATGTAAAAATAAAATTCACTACACATCCTGATTGCAACATTATTCACAATTGCTCATGTTCCATTTGTTATTACCCATGATTACATGCAATTCAGTTAATTGTCAAAAACAATTAAAAATAATAATAGTGGAGGAAACATCTGTTACTGACCTATCTGGAACGTTCGTGTAAACTGATAAACAATTATAATAGACATTTACCTGATTTGGTTGAGGGGAGTCAACCATGAACCCCAACAAACAACGGACATCGTCTGAAGCCAGAGAAGGTGGAGCTGCCAAGACTAAAAGTTCAACAACCACTAAAAGCTCATCCACCAATGCATTGACTTCACCCATTATACGGCCATTTCCACTTGCTGAACATGAATCAATTGAATCACTTTCACGGACAGTCCAATAGCACCGTCTGCAACCATCTAGAAGTGTCTGAATAGCATTAGCATCTCGCATCACTGATGACTCAGTGAACACCATGTCTGCTAGTGACGAAAAAAACTTCTTTTGAAGTCCATAACTGCATAAGCTCCAAATCTTGATATCAAATAACAATGTGCTGAAAAGCTGCACTTTAAGTGTATGGTTTAACTTCTGGGACTGACATATTGATACAATAGCGGCAACAAGTTCCTCATCTCCATCACGCTTGGCAATGTCGAGGGAAGACAAAGTTTGGAGGAGATAATTCAATATTCGAGACAATATTTCAGGTCCTCTTCGCCGGCACAACTCTTCATTATTTCCAGGATGGCAAATGGCCAAAGAGATAATTCTGAATATGGGAGCAGCAAGTGACGTTAGGACCAAAGAAGGAGAAAGGTCACTTTGCCGTGGCTCCAAGCTATTCTCATGCACCTTGTTAACTACCAAGGGAAGCAAGAACAAGGGACCTCCATGAGCCAAGGCCCACAAAGCTTCAGCAGGCCGCATTCTTGTGGCAACGTGAACTTGACCAAGAACCTCTGCAGGCCTTCGAAGCATACCTGAAAGGCGCGAGAACACCATTCATTAGGAAATAACACATCACATAATTCACGCAACTGAAAAAAGAGAATATAATAATTTAAGAATTTGACGAAGTGTAAGTTTAGACACAAATTTTCTCTATTTCCATCAGAATAAGCACACAAACCTGGGTTCACATACAACTACAGATTTAGCACCATGCAAAAAAGAGAGACACCCATCACCAAAAAAAAAAAGTAACTTATCCCACCATGCAAAAGAGACGCTCAATTTGCACAAGAAATATACTCCATTTCATATAATGATATCAGCCCATGACAACCATGGGACTTCACAATCTTAAATTCGCTGAACATAAAATCACAAGCAAGACATAACGCTCAAAAGGAACAGAATTTAAGACAATGGGGTATATTACCACAATCAAAACAGTAAGCTTAAGTTTATACGTTTCTCAAAATAGTGCTCTTAATACCTGTAGCACCAGAAGGAGAAGCATCTGGACAGTAACGCCCACTCAACAAATTAGGATGGTAAAGCAGATGAATTAACCCAGCAATTTCAGAATCCAAAAGTGCACTATCTTGTGCCATGCTTTGGACATGATCATTTGTTGCAATCCATGGTGATCCCAAACCATTGCCAAATGATGGCAGAACATCGCCTCCTCTTTTAGCTAACCGTGCCATCCTTTCTGGGCCAATAGGTTCTCTAAATATGTACACAGGTCCCATTTCAGCAAACAAAGGGCACTGGCGGCGCCGGCGTTGTAATCCAGCCATAGTTGGAGGAGGATTAGTGCCAATGCAGCAAAATGCGAGTGGCTTAGAAATCCTTGGCAAATCAAATGGACGGCTTTCGTACAAGGAACCATCAACGTACAACCTCAACTCACTTTCTGACTTTCCTAGGATACCCTGTCTGCAAGAATGTTCAAGGCCAATGAAGTACCAACACTGTGGCTTGAATGCATGAGTAAAATGCAAAGATGCCTTCCTTCCTTTCCCACTTCCACATTCAACAACTAAAAACTGAGCATGAAAATATGCTTCCATCCCCTGATTGTCAGCAGATAGAAAACTGAAAAGTCGAGGCATATGGGCCGTGCCTTCTCCAGCTAGAGCACTAGCAGCTGCAGCAGCTGACATGGGAGATGATCGTCCTGATGTGGCGGCAGCAGCCATTGCAATAGCAGCAGCAGTTGTTGCTGTGCTTATATTGTCCGCAAATGATTCGATGTAGATCCAAGTTGCAAATGCATATCCATTAGTAAAAGGCCATTTACTCTCCCCGGGACCTAACAAGCCAGAACTCTCTCCATCAAACTCAAAAGTACTTGCTGGACCCCTGACCTCTTTCCCACCCATGGCTTTCTCCAAAGAGCGCAATAAACGGGCTGCCCATTGCGTGGTGAGAGTTTTGTTAATGACTTTAAGCCAGAAGTGCAGATCCGATGGACTAAGAGAATGACCAGCTAAGTACTGAATGCAATAACACAGAGGAGTTCCATCCCACGTGCTCTTTTCTCCTGAACCAACATTCTCAACAAAAATCCTCTCGGAAGTGCGGAGAAGTACTCCCAATAAACCAGCCACAGAGCACATCTCTCTGTTCCTAGTGCAAGCGCGCAAAATAGCTAGCAGCCCTCTCACCATCCGAGTCCTAGGAGACATAAAACCTTCAAAGTCCCCAATGTCCGGAAGCCAAGGAACCAACTCACCAGCCACTATAGCAGCCCTGGAGTTCAGCATCACACTGGGTGGATTATCATCCCCGTCCTCTTCAAAAGATTCGACACCTCCCATGGTGGCAAGAAGTGAGTCAACGACTAAGTAAGCCATAGCCACAGCCTCTTCACCTCCTCCAAAACTCTCAACGCCACAAACTACATTCTTCAGCTTCTCCAAGCTTTCAGCCTTCCCCATTATAGCTGAATCTACTAAATGAAGAAGCTCCGGAGACACATTAGGCATATCTTGTTTGGCCTTCAGTTTTGGTGGTGAATCAACAGGAGAGTATCCTGCATCTCCATACAAATGCAAAGCAGAATCAAGACTAGCTGAAGACAAGGACTCTCTAGCATCATAATTTGAGTCTCTCTCAGGCCCAGGGCTCGAATAATGGCGATCATGACGCATACCTAGTTCTGGGGGAGAATCAAACCCTGATGATCTAACACCAGGGAAGGAAAACTCAAATGTATCGTCACTTCCAACTCCTGAGTCTCTCAACTCATCTGGACTCAAAGACTGCTCGCAATTTTTATCCCGGTCTTTCAGTGGAACATGCTCAAAAAGTTCATCATCATTAACTGTAGCAACTGAACCAACTTCTCCTATATTTACATTACTATCCACAGTATCTATGCAAGGAATATGTGTCTTCATATTTTCAGCTTCAGATATTCTTGTATTATCATCTATACCAGTAACTTCTTCCTGCCTTTCATAGCTCTTTTCAGCAGCTCTTTTATGGACGCTCATTTCTTCTTCTTCTTCCATTTTCCAACAAAAGATATTTTATCTTAGAGATCCTGAATCCAAATTGCTTCCAGTTTTAGCTAAATATATCATCAGACATACAATGTCAACAACACAATGAAACATAAACAGAGAATCAGCAACAATTATACAAATATATTTATATTATCCAAACTCAACAACATAAAATGAAAACATAAACAGAGAATCAGCAACCAAACTAGTACAGATATATACAACTATGTTATGTATATATGTGCGGGAAAACAAATAAAAGATCACCAACACGGAAAGTAACTTCTTAATGTACCAATATTCGAGCTGTCTGTGCAGGCCATTCATAAGATGTATTTAAAACACAAATTTAATAAATGAGCGTTTTCAAGGTGAAAACAAACTCGATAGCCTGCAATGGAAGTAAAAGGCAGATTTTCAAAATAAAACAACACACGATTGACCATTTCACATTTTCTCCTTGTAAATTCAGCTGAAAGTCGAACGGGTGCAGAAATTTAAGCTAAAGTGGAACAGCTCCAGCACCATCACCAACCCAAATTAGCGTGAAGAAAGTGCAGCAAACGTGAGCTCACAATCTAAAATTAAACTAAGACGAAAATGCAGCAAACGTATCGTCAAAATTAGAAACTGTGTGCTTTTGTTTTCCCAACATATCAACTTGCTTCGTGCAAAAAGCAAAATAATGAAGAAGTTACGATAGATCTAAGCTTGCCTCAAGCAACAGCACTGTTAACTCCCTTGAGGATAAAAATGCAGATCACATTTCGCCAGGTGATCAATCAAAAAATATATCACAAATTGACGCCGATAAAAAAGTTTAAGAAAGCCAGATTCCGCCATTATTGCCATTAAAGCAAGCATAGGCTTCATGATTGTTGCTTACCTTATAATAAAAGGATCGTCGAAAAAGAGAAAAACCTCTCGATTCAGATTGATCAACAAGGGATTAATTAATGAGGAGAGATTATGGTGATCGGGAAAGAAAAACGAATGAACAATTGTCAGGAAAATTGAATGACAAGATAGAGGGACGTGATGTAATCGAACAAAGAGGCGAGTAGAGCGCGAGAGAAGAGGCCGAGCCACCCAAAACAAAACCAAAAACAAAAAAAAATGATTATTCTATTTGGACTTTGCTCAATTGCTGTACCAAGTACGAACTCAGTCCAATCTATAGTAAGGTTGGCAAAATTAGAAGTTTCAAAATAAAAAGTTTGATGACTTATTAGTTATTAATAGTGGTAATTTCGAAAAAATAAATCTTTAAAAATTTAACTTAATTATTTATTTAGACAATTTTGCCGGATTTTCTTTTTAAATATTTAGAAACGAATACAAATTAGTCAGATTTTCTTAAATATGAAACCCATTAGAATACCTTTTTTTAACCAATTTGGAGATTCTTATGGAAAAAATATGTCAATTATTTAAGAAATTCAAACCAATACAAAGTAATTTAAAATCCGTGCAACTTCATGATATCATCTTTACTTTTTTTACCAAAAAATGATTCCCATTTTTTTGTAACAAAAATTAGAGATTGGTCAGATTTCCCTTTCTAATTAAAAAAAAATCCATTTCATTTCAAAATATGAATGTCATAGGAATCATTTTTTTTAGTAACAAAATTTGAGATTGTCTGGATTTTGCCAGATTTTATTTCCAATATTTAGAAAACAAATATGAGTTGGTTGGATTTTCTTAAATATGAAACCCATAGAAATCTCATTTTTTATTTTTATTTTTAATTTTTGTAACCAATTTGGAGATTCACATGCCAAAAATTGTCATTTATTTATGAAATCATATCCAAATACAAATTAATTTAAAATTTTCCTTGGACAATTGGGCATACGAGTTCCCGAACCACTAAAGGATCAACTATTGCCTCGGATCAACTCCAGCAAAAGCTTGTACCACAAAGAGGTTATATCTCACTAGGCTTAGGTCAATTATGTCGAACCTTATTCGAATGATTGGATCAAAAGCGGGCTCCGGAACTCTTTTTTATTTTTAAGAAAAAGATGGTAAAACGTTGATGGATGGGACTGAACTAGCTTCATGACTGACTTCTCTGACGAGATTCTGGGTGTGCTTAAGAGCTGGTGGAAATCGAATACCTTTCACACCTAACTCAGGCTTTTGCTTAAACTTTGCTGAATTGTACTCCATTCCATTGTCTTACCTCAATGCCTTCAATTTGTACCCTGATTTAGCTTCAACCACTTCTCCATTTCCCAAGTTTAACCATATGGTTTTTATTTTTTACTAAAATATGAATCCAGATTTTTATGGCAATAATATTTTTTTATTAATTGGATTACCCTTTCTAATTTTTTAGGAAACAAAACTAATTTCAATTTCAAAAATATGAATGCCATAGGATTCTCATTTTATCTATACTTATATTAAAAGGTATACCATTTACCAAATTTAGTATAAAGGAAAGTCAAAAACATTTATTGCATTACTATTTCCATATTATACAATCTATACTTATATAAAAGGAGATTCTATTTACTATATTTACTATCCAGAAAAGTAAACTGCATTAAATGCTATTACTATTTTGGTATTATATTATTTTATTTATTTAATTGATTTATTTATTTGTTTTATTTTAAAAAGGTAAGTATAATAAAACTATTTTAATAATAAAAAAATCAAATACCAAATAAAAATGTACACTTTGACTTATTTGATTATATTTGGTATTTGATTATACCAAATATATTCCTATTTAGTATATACATTAAATACTTACTAAAGTATTTATCTATACTTATATTAAAAGGTATACCATTTACCAGATTTAGTATAAAGAAAAGTCAACAACATTTATTACATTAATATTTCCGTATTATACAATCTATATTTATACTTATATAAAAGGAGATTCTATTTACAACATTTACTATCCAGAAAAGTCAACTGCATTAATGCCATTATTATGTTGGTATTATAATATTTTATTTATGTAATTGATTTATTTATTTATTTTATTTTAAAAAAGTAAGTATAAGAAAAAGATTTTAATAATAAAAAAATCAAATACCAAATAAAAATGTACACTTTGACTTATTTGATTATATTTGGTATTTGATTATACCAAATATATTACTATTTAGTATATACATTAAATACTTACTAAAGTATTTATTTGTTTTATTTGTCAAAGTTAAGTATAGATTTGTTTATATTATCAAATTATAAAAAAAATATTAAATTCATATTGTAAAAAAAAAATCATATAATTTTATAACAATTCTACTACACTATTTAACAGTATTTGTTTTTTATTGTATAATAAAATAATAATTAAATATTATATGGTGAACAACAATAAGTAAAACTGTTACTTTCTCTTATATCAAGGGATAAATTTATATGCTAAAATTAAATTTATATTATTATAAATATTTTAGTGAGATAATATATTAATTATTTTACAAGCTAGCCCTAACATGCTCATATTTAATGTCTCAAAAGATGTAGAAAAAAAAACTTATAATAACTCTATTGTTTTTTAGACTTAAACGTTGATTAAAAGAGGTAAAAATTCCTAATTTTTTAGACTTAAACGTTGATTAACACCATAGATTGAGAGTTTATATTTAGTAAAATTCCTAATTGTAATAAAAAAAATTATTTTTTGCTATATTTTAGAATATCTTTAAATTCATTATTAAAAAAAAAAAAAGAAAAAAAAACTACAATGAAAAAAACAAGTCAGCTATATATCGATTTGTTGTACTCCTCAAATCACATTCACAATTTGGCTACAAGGAAAAGAAACTCATTGATTAAAATATTATTTTGTCAGTAGTCTTAATGTACAAGAGACTTTAAGACTCCACTTGAATATTATAAAACTTTTATTGAACATTGTACAATTTTCTTGCGTATTATAAATATTTATTGAATATTGTATCTTATAATATAATATTCTCCAAATAAATATGTCTCGTGCTTTGTGGGTCACGTACTATATATATCCCGTACATTTTTTATTCATGTATATAATTATAAGCCTGGATAAATAGCCTTAAAATTGTGCACCCGTGCATCGCACGGGCTATGTACTAGTTTTTAATAAAACTTGAGATCGGCCGACTTTTCCTTTTCAAATTTGTAGGAAACAAAACTACTTTCAAGTTATTTCAAAATATGAATGTCATAACTCCCCTTTTTTTTGTAACACAATTTGAGATTGACCGGATTTCAAAGGATTTTCTTTCCAATTATTTAGAAAACAAATACAAATTGGCCACATTTTCTTAAATATGAAACCCATAGGAATCCCAATATATTTTCGTAACCAATTCGAAGATTCTTATGCCAAAAAATGTGTCAATTATTTATGAAATAAAATCTAAATGCAAATTAATTTAAAATCCGTACAACTTTTTCATATCATTTTTATTTTTTTACTAAAATCTGAATCTATTTTTTCTTTTGTAACAAAAAAAATTTAATTCAATGTGTCATATATAAGTACATGTTTATATACACATATATTATATTCATTTTATATGAATCAAGGATAAAATAAATATTGACTAATATTATTCTTATTTTTTAATCCAATAAAATCCATATCCATATCTATATAATGGATCAATCAATATTGTCATAACTGACATGGTTTTGGGCGGGAATTCTTTTCATCTATATTTGATATTTAATTAAATTTTTTTCATCTATATTTGACATTTAATTAATCTTTATTTATTAAAATATTTATATATAAAAAAATAATTAACTTTTGTATACTCAACGGCTATATGTAATGAAAGTACTATTGAAAATTAAAATAATATATTAATAAAGTTAATGTTTGATTGTCGGATACAATTCAAAATTATAAATTTTACCTTATAAAGATCTATGTACATTATGAAATTGTTCAAATTTAAATAAATATATTTTTTATTATATATTTGTTTAGACTTATTTAAAAGCGTTAGATGGTCTTTACCGTCCCCACAATGATAACGGCTCATTTGTCCGGTAAGCGTAGTCCTTATGGGTGGATGTATGATAGTAGTACTTCACATCATATGACGGGCTACTTGGAATTTTTTTTTTATATTCGGGATATTCCGTCCCGGTCTGTGCAGTTACCTAATGGCACGCTCACCACTGCGTGTAAAGCTGGAACAGTTCATCTCGGTTCTCGTATTATTTTATATGATGTTTTGTTCGTNTGCTTTTTTTGTTTATTTTCGAGTATAATGGCACATCAACGTTTAATGTTCGGTACTTTTGGGTGAGAATCTCGATGCGGAGGGAAGTCCCTATTTTCCATGCGTGTATTTGTGAACGTTAATCTTATGTATTATGAGATCTAGAAGCGATCCCCTATTTATCAATAAATCCTGGTATAAGCGTATTGTTGTAGCAAAATATTTTTTTTTACCGAGTAGCGAATCAAAAGATTCGTTCCCCAGGTCGATCTCAAGGAAGGTTAGTCGGATATACTTGTGCGAGTATTCTATCACACAAGAGAAAATAAACCTAAACACTCTAATCAAGATAGTTGACTTTAATTATCAACTACGAAAGAAAACTCAAACAATGCAAAGTCGAATCTAAAAGCAAAGACGAAGATCAAACGATGATAAGAAGCTAGGGCATCGGGGATGATGATTCTCAAACCAATGCAAATATCACGCTAAGTTCATTCGGTTTAAATGATTCGAACAACCTAACGTCTAGAGATTAATCCTCAATAACTCTTCGTAACAAAAGGATAAGATGGACGGCAAATCACACAAATCATGCAACACATAGGCAATACAGTTACGAACATGCCTACTTATACGAGCCTAGATCGATCAACTTCTCCCCTTTCGGTTATAAGAGTCGATTAAATTATCCTAGGCGATTGTTAATCAACTAGTTCGTTGGATTTAAAACATCTCACAAGAACAAATCGTATTCAATTGGAAATCAATTTCAAATCGAAGTGTCACTCTTAGAAAATATTCAACATTCAATGCACGATAACTATAAAACCTAGTTAAGAACGGCTCGCATAAATTGAACGATCAACAAGCATAATATTCACAATCAAATTCTAAATATTACCATCATCCCATATCCCTAGCGAAATGAATAAGCTACTCATGTAGAATTCAACACAATCCATCTCAAGAACTCAATCATTCATATTC